GAAACACATAACAGTGATTCACAAATCTAACTTCAAGAAAAAACATTGAGTGCACTGGAAAATAAAAAATGTTTGGCAGAGTGCAAACTAGAAAGTATATCTACAAACCTCGGTGTCAGTTTGAGGATATTTCTTACAGCAAGAGTAGCACAAGCAGAAAGGAGCTTCAACAAGCTTAAACTAATTAAAAATTATCTTAGGTATACCATGAGTCAAGGACCTGGCTGGGCTAAGTATTGAGTCTGACATTGCAAAACATTTAAACTTTGATATAGTAAAACGTAATTTTGCAAAGAAAAAGGCACGCAAGGCAACCTAGCTTTAACAAAATTGTTTTATTTAACAACATTTCTATCATTTATAGATCTTCTATAAATTCGTCTGTGTAATAAAATTTAAAAATTTTTTATTCAAAATCCTTTTATTTAAATTTATATAAATATATATATTTACATATACATATACATACATATATATATATATATATATATATATATATATATATATATATATATATATATATATATATATATATATATATATATATATATATTATGCATATATATATATATATATTATGCATATATATATATATATATATATATTATGCATATATATAAATATATTATGCATATATATATATATATGCATGCATAACAAGCGGAAGAGTGGGGGTAGGGGCTCAAAAAGATAATTGCACAAGCACATTTTTATCTCCTCCATGGCCCTGCTCTGTATATATATATATATATATATATATATATATATGTATATATATATATATATATATATATATATATATATATATATATATATATATATATATATATATATATATATATATATATATATATATATATATATATATATATATATATATATATATAACAACAAGAACAATATATAAGAACAAAAATGCAAATATGTAAAAAATATAAAACTAGATAAAAATAATAAATAATATAAGATATTACTTATATTTGATATGTTAAATTTTAACATATTAAATTTGTTTAAGATATAACAGTGTTAAAGATTTTTTTTTAGTTTTACAAATTATTTTTAACATTTAAAAAATTATTTTCAAACAAAATTTTTCAAGTTTTAAAAAACTTTTTTTAAAAATGATTTTTTTATTTAGATTTATTTTTAAAACATTTTTCAAAAAATTGCAAGGGAATAAAAAGTGTAGAAAGCCATTACTAAAATTCATTCTTATGTTACTGGTCATTCTATTAAGTCTCATCTTTTTACTGTGACTGTTCCTATGTGCTCCAAAAACTCTTATTCGTCTAGTTTTTGTCTACGAGCATTCATTCTTTGGAATTCGCTCCCATCTCATCATTGTTTTCCTGATTCATTTGCATTCTTTTAAGTCATCTGTTAATCATAATCTTGCTTTATAAATTTCATTTTTTTCTCTTCCACTAACTTCCAATTCTAATAGTGGTTGCATGCAGCCTTGTTGGAAGTAAAGATGTTAATATATATATATATATATATATACAGTCGACTCTCTATATCTTGAATACTTGATATGTCAAATACTTGATATCTATGAACTTTTTTTTTGCTCCCATAGACATAATGTATTTGTTTAGGCTAAAATCTTCTCAATATCTTGAACCTTAATATCTCAAACTTTTTGGTATCTCAAACAATAATTTTGGTCCACAGGGCAATTTTTTCTCGTTATCTTGACCTTTACAACAATTGTAATGTTTTAATAACATTATTTTTTTTTTAATTCAAATTTTTAAAAAGTATTGCTATGAAATTTTTTAAAATTCAATTTTAAATTCGATTTTCTTTTATGGATTAAATTTCTGAAAAGCATACCTTAAACAGTTTAGTTTATTGTTTTAATTAAACGCAATAACATGCCGATCATTAAACAAAAATTCACAAACAAAACTATTTAGAAAAAATGCAAGGCATTAAAAGACCTTGAGACAGGGATGTCTAACAAAGAGGTTGCCCAAAAGTATGGTATTCCAAAGGACACATTATCAACCTGGGTTAAAAATAAGTTTATAACCTCATTGGAAAAAAATTGCACAAAATTTAAACAGATGAAACTACATAGTGATAATTTCAAAAATGTAGACAAGGCCATATTCTTGTGGTTCTTTGCAAAAAGAAGTCAACAAGTACCAATTGATGGTACCATACTAAATGAAAAGGCACTTAAATTTGCAGAAACATTAGGAGAGTTCGATTATATAGCATCTGATTGTTGTTTTCACAATTGGAAGGAAAGGTCAGTTAAATTTTGTCAAATCTGTTCAATTTAAATATAAAGAAACAAACATGTATCTGCTTACATATAATTTATTTAATTTTTTAAACATGTAATTAAAATTCAATCGTTCTGTTCATATTTTTAGGAACGACATCAGACAAATGATATGACTGTGTATCAAGGCTGTCAATAACAATGTACCACTGCTTTAAAAATCCTGGTATCAGCAAAATAAACAAGAGTATTGAAAAAGCGAATGATCATCCTTTTAAATTTTTGACAAAAGAACTTAACCGTTTGTCAGAGTTAGGTCCTAGTGCCGTCCAAGAAGATCTCTCAGTGGAAACTACATTGCAATCTAAACCAACATAATTTAAAAACAACGATAATGACATTGAAGATAGCATTGAAGAAAGGTATTGACGTCAAAGCCCTGCCGTGCCCATCTGATATTCTATTAGAAAATGCTTTTGAAACAATTCAAAATGCTTCGATATATATATATATATATATATATATATATATATATATATATATATATATATATATATATATATATATATATATATATATATATATATATATATATATAAGATAGTAGATAAATATACATATATATACTTTCTAAACAATTAATTTTACAAAAACAACTTGCGAAGAAACAATACCAGTATTCCTGTACAGAATCAAAAGTAGTTTATGTACATTGTACATTTATAAAAACTTGAATATTATTTTTAAAATCCAAGACAACCAAGCTACAAAAGGAAAACACAATATTCTTGTTGTCACATAGATAACAATAACTTAGGATGTAATATTTTTATTTCACTAGCTGGTCCATCACAAAAAGAGGAGGAAAGCAACTTTGGTGGGTTATGCCAGTTAATGACATCAATCCTATGTATTATTTCATCATCAAAGTGCTGCATCATATCACTTCTGATCCTTTTTTCAATCAGTATGGTAAGTCCTAGTGTCTACTTTTGTTAGGCAGTTTTAATATTGAAAAAATTACTTTTGTAGTTTTTCGTTGAATGCATTTTAAAACCTGAATATCTCTCTGAATATCTGATATGACCATGATTGAACTGCAAATTCTAAATGTCATCTAATGTATGTCATGTAAAGCAAATTTAAATGTGTTAAAATGCTTTTTTAAAAATCCCAAGTATTTGATTAGCATTCGTAGCAGTAGAATGCACTTGCGCTTTAACTTTAAGATCATCTAAAATAAGTATACCTAAATTTTGATTAATATGGTTGACGGCTAAAGTGACTTCTGTGTCATTGTCATTGTACATATAGTACTTATGATTTTATTTAGTTGATTCTGGACCTACATGCATAACCTTTCATTTATGTAAATTAAATTTCATCAGTTAAATTCTTGACAATTAAATAGCTTTATTGATATCACCTTTTAAAAAATTATCATCAGACAATGAGCTTAATGATTTTGCTATCATCAGCATATAGTTTTATATTGTGTGTCAAACTATCCAACAGGTCATTAATATACAAGACAAAAAGAAGGGTCCCAATGACTGATCCTTGTGGGACACCACTAACAATGTCTTTTCAGCCTGATGTACTTGTTCCTAATTCAACCCATTGCAATTTATATCAATCCATGCTGACCAAGTGCTGACCACACAAGGTGCTGACCAAGAATACCATATGCATAAAGTTTATGTAGTAAAATTCTGTGAGGCACTGTATCAAAGACTTTTTCAAATTCTGTAGAAACAACATGAAACAAGGTATCTTTGATCTAAAGTATCTGTCAAGGGTTCTAATAAGTTAGTCACACATGCTTTTTTAAACACAAATTCGTGTTTTATATGATGATAGCAGTGGATTACAGTGATGGGTAACTTCCTTAAAAATCATTCATTACTTTTCTAGAAGTTGATGTCAGTGAGGCTGGTCAGAAGTTTGAAGCTGTTAGCCTAGAGCATTTCTTTAAAACCGGCCTGACAGTGGCCATGACAGTAAAAGATTATTGCTAAAGGTAAAGCCATAATTCAAGGGCAATTTGAGAGGACTCAAGGTTGGATGCCATCAAATCCAGGGGACTTAATTTGATTAATTATTTTAAGTCTCTTTTTGAAGTGTTCATGATTGAAAAAGTATATTTTTATTTTCATTGTAATTCATTTTGATTCTTAAAATATGATAGTCTATCTGATGGTTCCACAACAAAAACTAAAGTTATGCCTTCAGTTATGAATATTCTATCATTCTTTTTCTCACATAGAATGGAGTATTTTTGGGATTAATTTGCTTTTTGAAAAATAGTCTCTTCATATTCCAAATCTGCTTTCTTTTTAATTTTTTTTTTTACTAGCTGCTTTATGCTCTAATTTTAATTTTAATATGAGCAAATCATTCAGTTGATTTTTATACAGCCCAAAGGTCTCACCGAATAGAGGCTTTGGCACCATTTGTTTTCCAATAAAAATGGTGTATGATCCAGAAATAATTTAGAGTTAGTAGTATAAAAAGATAATTAAAGATAGATATAAAAGATACTAATTTCAGAATTAGTCAATTGTAGAGTTACAATAAAATTTTTTTTTTTTTTTTTTTTGCAAATCTAGTCATATGTTTCATTAGCTATATATACATCAGCTACATCACACCAACTAACTAATATAAATATTTTTTTTAAATACACAACAGTCTTAAAAATAATAAAAAAATGATTAGAAAAATTATAAGAAAGCAAAAGTAATACAGACAGTAAGACAATTACATTGGTTTTGAATTTGGTATTCAGCAACTGTTGTCTTCTATTTTCATCCTCCTCCTAAAGGATAAATAGATTCATGAAGATAATTCTTTCTGGATTCTTTTTTGTTTATTTTCAAGATAACAAACCATGGGCATGATAAAAAGTTGTCAACAAACCCTCTGTTTGCGTTTGCGAATATATGAATTATAACTGGCTTCAATATGCCGAACATCGTATAAAATCTGATCAACTTTTCTGTAAAATAAAAAAAATAAGGTTAATAAAAGCAAAAAATTAACATATTGAAAACTAATAATCCTGATCATACAATTTTGATGTTTGCTTTCTGTGAGAAGGCTCTTTGAATAAATAATCTTCTAATCTGGTACAATTTTCATACAATTCATTGATTGCTTTTACGATACTGGACTCTAAATCTTAAGTTAAAATGTTCTACTATTAAAGGTAATCTACAAATATATAATAGAAATGATCAAATATTTACCATGTACTCCGCTTCCAGAATATTTAACTAGAGTGTCCATTTGATGATGAAGCTCCAAAAGAGACCTTTGAAAATAATGTTAAAGCTTTAAAAAGTTATCAAAGCCTTTACATTTAAGTTGACTTTAAATTAAAAATAATTTTATACATAATAATAATATTAACTAATCATAATGATAAAATTGAACTTTTCAACTTTAAAAATTTTAGTTCTAAAAACTAAAATTATAAAACTAATTTAACCATATATTGGTTTCAGAATGAAATAAAATTCAATTTTGAAACCAATTTTTAGTAATTAAAAAATTATATATTTTGCTATTAACTCAAGTCACGCAAGATTTAGTTTTGATTGATAGAACAAGTGACGAAAGCTTGTTTATGCAGTGAACAAAGTAAAAAGAAAAGAGATGCTACCAACAACAATTGGACAAAACGTGAAGCTTGGTAGCTAGAGGTCAAAATATACAATGTAGTTGCATTGTATATTTTGACTTTGTCAAAAAGAGCATCATTAAAAAAACCATTCCAGATATGACAACATTCTTCCATACAAGGATAAATAAAAAGTTTAAGTCGGTAAAGGAATCAGAAGTAAAAAAATAGCAAGCAGGTTAAAAAGTGGCAACATAAGCAATCACTTATTTTTCAATAGATTGTGTAAACCAATTCAATGAGAGGTCAGTAGTGAAAAAATAATTCGATAAAATATACAGTCGAAGACTCATCAAAATTATTAATATAGGAATATCAATAACATTGAAATAACCAGAAAAAAAGAAATTATTTAAAAGTCAGCAGTAGAGGATCAAAAACAAAGATAGTCACAGAGTAAGTTATAATGATAATCAGAGAATTGTATAAAATTAGATATTAGAGATTTGTTAGTTAAAGACTGCAAAATCTTGCTGACATTTTTTAGCCAACTTGAAAACAAGATTCAGTAAAACAATTATTAACCAGTTTAGAGAGTATAGAAGAAAGTCAAGCATTTGTTACATTGTAAGACTGTGACAGAATTGTTATTTACGCCACAAGCTTTAGAAGAGTTTAAGTAAGAAACAGCTTTAGCAAAATAATCCAGAGTAAACTGTCTAAAAATGAATCAACCATTTTTTCTTGAATAACTAAAGAATGCGATCATTATATTCAAGACGCATACTTGAGGTTCTAGTTCAGTTTTATCCTTGGATAAAGTAACATTAACTATAGAGTCAGGCACTCATATACCTTATTGCGTAAATTTCTTGGATAAATAAAATGATGTTTATTTTTAAGAAACATCTTTTGGTGAAAAATATAAAAGAAAAGATTATTATTACTAAACCAGTTGACAAGGAGATCATGAGATCATAGGGTAAAGCAACTTATAACTTACAAAAAGGAATAAAAGTTTTGTTACCAGTGAATTCAGGAGATTACAAAAGAGATGCAATTATGCTGTAACATATTACTGGAACAAACTACTATATATATATATATATATATATATATATATATATATATATATATATATATATATATATATATATATATATATATATATATATATATATATATATATATATATATATATATATATATATATATATATATATATATATATATATATATATATATATATATATATATATATATATATTAATTTAAATAAATTAATTTAAAAAAACTATTAAATACTTTTTAAGTAAAATTTTTAAATAATTTTCCAAAATTTTTCAAAAAAATAATTTTTAGTTTCATTAGAAATCCTTTTAGAGACTAAAACTTCTTCAAAAAACTTTTACAAATTATGAATGATACAGAGATACTATAGCTATTAAGCATAAATTAAGATAAAAAAGGAATATCCTACAACTTTATATTTAAACAAATTCATTTAATATTCAAATCATAACAAATAAACTGCAAATAGACAAAGAAAGAAAACCTGTTTGTTTGTTGTAGTAATAAATCCATTTATAATTCTGTTATATTTATTTTAAAATCATTCAATCTTCATTTTAATCAAAAAATTTTGTTCTAAACTAAAAAAGTGAAAAATTATAACCAATGTTTTTAAAAATCTTCTTTAAATTTAGTTGCATTTAAAATAACATGTTTTCATCAAATTTGTTCCCAGACAGTGACTTTGATGCAAATAATGGTAAAAATATATTATACCTTTCTGTAAAACTTATTTAATAAAAAGATGCAGCCAACTGAAATTTAGAAGTTAATAGAAAGTTAGCAATAGAAAATACAAGGAAAATTACATTAATCAGAAAAAACCAGAAAAGAAATACAAAACACAAACAAACAAAAATTAGAAAACAAGATTATAAGTATCATAAATTGGTACTTCTTTTTTATTTTTTAAAAAAGTACTATTTTATAATAAAATATTTTTTTATTTACAAAAAAAACAAACTATTTCATGATAAAATGATACTTCTTTTAAGAAAAGTACCACTTTATGATACTAATAATAATATAAATTAATACATGTATAAATTTATACATATATTAGTAATTAATATATTGAAAATTATTATAATGATATATTATAATTACTATAATGATATATATAGCATTTTTAATAATAATTAAAATAAAACATTTTAAAACTATAAACGAAACTGTTCCTGCAAACAAGTAAAAAAACTCATACCTTGTCAACACTATTTAACAATATCTACAAATAAAACTCAATGAAATTATCTTTCTTCTAGACTAGAATCTACCTATGTTTATGCTTAGTGTATGCTTTTTGTAGCCTATGTAGTCTATGCTTTTTGATATGCTTAATTTTGTGTCAAAAATGTTACATCATGTCAATAATGTTCTTTGTTTTGCTTCAAAAATATATAAAAGTAAATTTACGATAAACTCTAAAACAATTTTGATTTGAAAAGATTCACACTTAAACTAAATTTAAATAACCCATTTTTTAACCAAATCAATTTATATATATATATATATATATATATATATATATATATATATATATATATATATATATATATATATATATATAATATATATATATATATATATATATATATATATATATATATATATATATATATGTATATATATATATATATATATATATATATATGTGTGTGTATATATATATATATATATATATCACATATACATATCTCACACACACACACACACACCCACACACACACACACTTGAAATGTGTGTGTGTGTGTGTGTGTAATATGTATTTTTATTTGATTTATGACACACATATGTGTGTGTGCGTGCGTGCGTGCGTGTGTGTGTGTGTGTGTGTGTGTGTGTGTGTGTGTGTGTGTGTGTGTGTGTGTGTGTGTGTGTGTGTGTGTGTGTGTGTGTGTGTGTGTGTGTGTAATATGTATTTCATTTATATAATATTCTTATTATTGTATATAATATACATTTAAGTTATAACTTAAATGTAAATTATGTACATATATCTAGATATATAAATGTAAAATACTATATTTATTATTAAATACTATATTTATATATAAATGTAAAATACTTAAATACATATTATAATACATATAACTTAAATGTATATACAATAATAATATAAAACAATAAACTCTACAAATCAAAAATTATAGTGTGAGCTAAAAAAGATCGACTATTTTTTTTAATAACTTATTTGTAGACGTGTTCTTTAAATGTTTTTTTGTTTATTTATTTGAATCTTAGTCTATACTCGTTTGAATACGTCACGGAGTAGACTTTAAAAACGCAAGTACTTATTTATACTCAAGAGTAATCATCATTCGTAAAGTGAGTGATAACGCGATAACTATAAGACGGTGCTGGCACAAACCAGAGGGGCGTCGTAGCCATGTTTTTGGATCGGGAAGCTAAGTGCGAACTACCATAAGTGCAAATTATTATAAGTGCGAAACAGTTGCAAAAACTGACATATTTGCCATAAGTGCGAAACTGTTGCAAATACTGACATATTTTGCAGATTCGCCAAAAAAATTGGCAAACATTGGCATAAGTGCGAACTAGCATGGGCAGCCGTAGCACACAGTATTTAGCGCGCTTGCCTCAGAAACTAGAGATCCATGGTTGCAAATTTTTAATTCGCACTAGTTATGCTAGTTTGAACATATGCCAAGGTTTGCTAATTCTTTTGGCGCACTTATACCGATTTGTACTCATGCCAGTACACACTTATGCCAGTTTTTGCAACTGCTTTGCACTTATGCCAGTTCGCACTGATGCCAATTTGCGCTTATGGTAATGTTCTAATGCTAAGCTTCATTATTAGTCTTTGATCAACAAATTTCTGATAATCCATCTTAAGTCAAATAACTCACTGTCAGACAATAAATACGGCGTTTGATCCTAAAAGATTTTACCTTGCATTAGGTAGGGGCGGCGAGGCTTGAGCTGTTGTTCTTGACATATCTAAAGCTTTCGACAAAGTTTGGCATGCTGGTCTTCTCTATAAATTTGCTTCATAAGGTTTATCTAGGAACATTTTTGAGATTATCAAGTCATATATTTTTAACCGCTTTATTAAGGTTTCTTAAGGCCAATACTCTTCTTTGTTTCCAGTCATTTCTGGGGTACCTCAAGATTCTATCGTTGGTCCTGTTTTGTTTCTTACTTACGTTAATCTTCTTGACAACCTTACAGTTAAAGTGGTTTTATTTACTGATGACTCAACTTTATACTCCTGTCTTGACAATAAGTCTTCTCTTTTCGGTTGCTTAGAAAAGGCAGTCGATCTGGTCTCATTTTTGTAACAGATTGGGGCGTACTGTGGCTTGTGAATTTTCACTCCAACAAAACAGTTATTTACTACAAAAAAACTATCGCAATACTGTTGACATTCCTATATTGATGAATGGCAACCTCTCACCGACTCTTCTTCTTTACATCTTCTTGGATTATTATTCACTACTAACTTTTCATGGAAACCATATATACAATTGATTGTTAAACTAGCATCTGCTGAAGTTGCTTTTCTTTATCGTGCTCACCATTTTTTTACTTCTGATTCATTTCTCTACCTTTACAAATCTTTTATTCTTCCCTGTGTGGAATACTGTTGTGATACTTTGGTAGCATTCTTTTAATGATGCTCTTTCTCTTCTAGAGAAGGTCCACATTTCGAAATGTCCAAAGCAACTAAAAATCTCCGCATTGAACTGTCTACTAAATACAATACATTTGTACGCATACTCGTAAATAGACTCGGCATCGCTAAAGAACACCGTTTTTTGTTCAACTGCTACCGTCAGTTGCTGCTACAATCCACATTAACTGAAATAATAAAACATCATTAGCCGCCAATGGCAATCAAAACAACAACATGTCAGAATTATTTGCCAGTTACCTCACAAGTTTTGAATTACAATTAAATTTAACCATATCCCAGTGGGTAAAAACGCTTATCCTGCATGGGTTTCATATGAGTTATGTGTGGGATTTATGGGAACCCGCATAAGACGCATGTGGGATAAGCGTTTTTTTTTTACTGGAATAACTCTTTAAACCAAAGAAATATTACCAATACTAATCAACTAGCAACCCTTCCAACAACACTTTTATCGAATAAAAATATTCCAGTAAATTTCTCCACCCGTACATAACATTAACTTTCGCTTTATTAGATTTCGAACTTTTTTTATTTCTTAAATTATTTCACTGGTTGTTAGCAAAAATTATTTTCTTACTGAAGTTTTGTATTTACTTATACTGTTTTATTTATTCCTTACTACGTATGTAAATGGGACTCGGTAATAAAATAATTTGCTTTTTTGATTTTTTTGTCTTTTTGGATTTTCTTTTATTGTAATTTCTTTTTTGTAATTTTGAACAAAAATAAAAGTCATTGAGCAGTTTTTTAACTTTTTTTTTAATTTTTTGTAGCTTTTCTTATTATTATTTTTATTACTATTGGTGTTACATAAGAGTAATTTAGTCTCCATTTTGTATTATGTTTATTTTTCAAATGCAATAAAAATAAATAAATAAACAAAAAGGAGCTATGTACCCCCAAAGTTTTTACCAAAAAAACGCTGCTGATTTGAAGGTCAAATTTTCAGTAGCTCTTATTTGCAACAAATCTTTATTCTAAAATTTTTTTTTTCAATTGAATAAAAAAAATGAAAGAGAAAAATAAAAAATTACGAAGTTTGCATTTTTAAGCAGTGTGATAGAAAATGTTTAAGGGGGTTGAATAAAAAAGATAATAGAGCGTTTTTGGTATTCAAATTGTTGTGTATAAGGAAGTGTCCGCGCGCTTTGTTAGCGCCTAGAGTACGAATGAGAAAATCTTTTGACAACAAATAAGTCACTTCATGTTTCTCCAAACATTTTGATGTTGGTTTAAAACTAAAGTAAAGTTAATGTGTTTGATCGAAAAACATTGTTTTTTGAAGCACATTAAATTTTTTATAATTGGTCACAAGCACATTAAATTTTTTATAATTAATTTCATCAAAAACAGTTATAAAAAAAAATATCAATGACATGTATTTATCTTATCTTCAATAATGTCTACTGATGTCTTTGTGTTATGATCATAATATTTTAAAATGTTTGCAACAATAAATAGTAGAGAGAAGAAAAGGGAATTAGAAAACCTTTACTTATGGTTAGCAAAAAAACATTCTTTTTTTTTTTATTTATTTGTTATTTAGGTGCTCCAAGGAGTCTTTACGGTCTTGTCACAGAACGCCGCGAACATTTTTAATTTTTTCTTGTTTTTTTAATGATACTCCATACCTACTGAATCTGAGGATGACTGAGATGGTAGCCTAAGTAATGAATAAAGTAAAGAAGAAGTTTGTAAAGACGGCAGTATTCTTTATTTCTTTATGCATTGGGCCCTGGTTAACTCTTATACAATGGTAAAATTTTATATAATGGATTAGTCAACTTCAAAGGACTTGGCTATTTTTAAATCACTGTTTGAAAGAATAGAACATTGCCCAAAACTAAAACAGACCTTTCTTTTCAACATTTGTGACGTGCCAGAGCAATTTTGTAAAGGAAAACCAAAGCTACCGATTA